TTTTTTTTTTTTAAATTTTAGTTTTGTTTCCCCTCTTCCAAATCCCATTGGCTCCTAGCTTTTCTGGCTCAGCCTTGCCTGCTCTGTCCACCTAGTGGGGCACTGCATCCGGGATCAGAACTGCAGGGAGATGTAGGTACTTGATAAATAAGTAAAAATAACTGCTATGTAAGTTTCCAAGATGCCTGGCCTCTCTTGTACCGGCTGGTTACTGGAACTGGTGGGTCCTAGGACCCTGCTGTCCCTACCACACTTCCCGGATTCCACCTTTGTCTTTCAGTCAGGCAGGAACTTTCCAGAAGGCAAAAGACGGGAAGACTGTGGCTGTGGAGGAGGCCGGAAGGGGAAGGTGGGTGTCCGATCCACAGCTGTGTCCACACGGTGTGGTGGACAGCTGTGTCAGTATCGGTGCCCCTGCCAGGACAGGTGCTGGACCAGCTCTGGATGCCATCCTCAGGCACTCAGGGACCCCTGTCCAGTCGCCCTAGCCACTTTGGGGGGTGGGCTACTCCCATGGTGCAGACTTCAGTCCCAGGACCAGGCTCAGGCTGGTGGTCTGAGGGTTCAGCGTGATCCTTAGAGGAAGCAGAGCCCAACGTGCACGGGGCTGGAGGCCATCCGGAAGGAGTCCTGGCTCATGCGGCCTGCTTCTTGGTCCTCAGTTTCCCCTTCTGTTCCCTGAGGATAGGACAGATGTCACAGGTACTCTGCCTGAGGATTCGATTCTCAAGGTGAGGTGGCTGGGCCAGCAGCAGCAGCAGCATGTCGCCTGGGAGCTTGTCAGAAATACAGAATGTTGGACCCCAGTGCAGAGCAGCTAAACTACACAAGAGCCTGAGCTTTAACAAGGGGCCTGTACCGTTTTTCTGCACAGTAAGTGTAAGAAGCACTGATTGATGTTGGAATGGGAAGATGTCTGTAGGGACGATTAAGCTCCAGTCTGATAATAAATGCTATTTTCTTTTCTTTCTCTCCCTCCCTCCCTCCCTCCCTCCCTCCCTCTCTCCGTTCTCCCTTCTCTCTCTCCTCTCTCCCTCCCTTGCCCCAACCCCACCCCACCTCTGTTACTGGGGAACTTAGGCACACAAGGTAAGTGTTCTCTAGCACTAAATTCTATTCTCAGAATACCTCCTCCACATTCCCCCCAAATGGTCCCACTCTGTAGATCAGGTTGATCTGCAAATAACTGTGTAGCCCAGGTTGGTCTTGAACTTGTGGCAATCTAACTGCTCTACCTCCCAAACGATGGGGTTACAGGTGTATGTCACTACACCCAGAAAAGTTCTATTTAAAAAAATTGTACAGTATTTGTTGAAATCTACATATAATCTAACACTATTTTGGCCAGAAACTGTGTTACCCTCTGCATGTGTTAATTTCTTTAATCCTCACGGCATATTTACGGTGTGGGCTCTGTTATTCTTTCCATTTCGTGACGAAGCAATGGTGTGAAGATGAGGCTTAATAACGTGCACAGTATCTCATAGGCAGCGAGAGCTAGCCGGACCCAAGACCACACACGGCCAGGGTCTACACTGTGCATTCCATTGCTCTGTTTGCAGCCATGGATGAAAGGCTGAATGGGAGAATGTCCAATCCCACAACCCCTTGCTGGTTACCTGCATCTGTTTCCAGGTGGCGTATCAAGTGTTCTGAGGAAAGCAGAAACAGAAGGGTCTGTTATTACCTACGGAAACTCCAAGGGCAAGATGTCCTGGCTACAGTGTGAGGATGGGGGCAGACACCCTAAAGGAGGAGTGTGCCTCACCCCTGACAGAGGAGGCTGCGCTCTGGGGAATGGCTCCCAGAGCAGAGGGAGGTCACGTGGAAAGGTCTGGGAGTGAAGATGCCTAAGCCAGGCTGTTTGTTTTGTTCCAGTCTCGCTGTATAGCTCAGGCTGGCCTGGACTGGGAGCTCCTGTCTCACTGTGTAGCTCAGGCTGGCCTGGACTGGGAGCTCCCTCTGTCCTCAGTCTCCCTGGTGCTGGGATTGCAGGCATGTGCCACCATGCTTGATGGTTTCAGCCAGGTTTTGGAGTTGGGAAAAGACGGGGACAGGTGGAAGAGAGGCATCTAACAGAGCTAGGGGAGCTGGAGCCCCTTTACCTGAAAATGTCCTCATCATCTCTGGGAGGGCGAGAATTTTCCTGTGGATATTGCGGATTTTCTTGACAAGGTCAGAGGAGATGGCCTCTGGACTCACAAAAGTGTTCACCTCATACCTGCAGACAAGTTGGAAATCTAAATTTAGTTCGTCTAAATTCCAAAAATAAGATGCTTTGTTTTATTTTATTTTTATTTATGTGTGTGTGTACGTGCACTGCCCTCAGAGGCCGGAAGAGGATGTTGGATCCCCTGGAAATGGAGTTACAGCAGCCTGTGAGCCACCCAGTGTGAGTGCTGGGGAAGAAAACTAGTCCCCTGCAAGAGCACCAATGCTCCTAACACTGAGCCATCTCTCCAGACCCCCAAAATAATGTTTGGGGGCTACAAGGTAAAACCAGTCAGACTGAAGGATGAGCTTGGTATAGGTGGTGAACAGATTAAACATCATTTATTTGCTCTTTTCTGGCCATGTACAGTAGGCATTTCATGAGACCCCACTAGGAACTAATTATAACCACCTCTTAAGAATTGAAGTCAGGCAGCATTACCACTATTCACCTCTAGAGGGCAGCGAGGTATCATTTGAAGAAAAACAGCCTTACACCTTTCTAAACTGTGTGCTTGCTAGTTTTCACAAAGGAAAAGTAGCTGGGAGGGAAGAAAAAAAAGATGAAAAGAAAAAATTATTGTAGTGTGGGGGCTGGAGAGATGGCTCAGCAGCTAAGAGAGCTTGCTGCTCTTCCAGAGGACCTGGGTTTGGTTCCCAGTACCCATATCTAGAGGCTCTAAACCTCCTGTAACTCCAGTTCTCCCCCATCCTCTCTCTCTCTCTCTCTCTCTCTCTCTCTCTCTCTCTCTCTCTCTCTTCTCTCTCAATTTTCTAGACCATTGTAAAGTCATGATTACTATATATAACTTTGTTTCAAGGAGAAAAAAATATGTCTCAAAAACCAACTCATCAGTTTATTCTTTATTTACTTATTTATTTTGAGACAAGATCTCACTCTGCAGCCCAGGCTGGCTTCAAGCTCACTATGTAGCCCAGGCTGACCTTAAGCTCATAGTGAGCTTCCTGAGGGCTAGGATTACCGGCGTGAGTCCTCATGCCCCATCCCAATCCATCTGTTTAAAAGTGAATCTTTAGGACCCAAACCTTTACTGAGTCTGCACTGTTACTGAGAGAAAAACTGGCCTGTGTGTCTATCAGAGTGTTTTTGTAGGGGAGGGTCATAGTGAGTGTCTCTAGGATAGTCATAAAGGAGACTGGCCTGGAGAGAGGGTCCTACCTGCTCTGGTTGAGTCTGACATCCTACAAAAGAAAGAACACACACTTAGTTTCCACACGGCCTGCCCATTGGGGAACTCTGCACATCTTTCTTCCTTCAAACACCAGCTGACGGCACTCCTCCCCAGGGCACTGGATCGCTTCATCACTTTTGCATTGCACTGCTTACATCACAGTTCCAGGCTAGTGTGGGACTCGGCAGTCAGTGCCTTTGCTCTGGTTGCTCTGTCTCGGCTGTGTCCTTAAATGGATTCTGTCTCCAATGATTAATGCACAGACCAGCCAGTTCCAAACTGGACCTGGTATGGAACGAATGGGATTGTGGCAACCACTACAGGGCCGTTGATGGAGCTCCTCCTGTCCCCAGGGCCCATGGCCAAACAACACATGGGTTTCTTACATGGGTTGCAACTCCATGGAGGAGGTGCTTATTGACATACCCATGCTTAGAGAGGTTAAGAGACACCCCCAAGTGACATGGTTAGAAGAGCTGATGCTTAAACCCAAGATCATGTGACCGCAGGATTTTGCCTTGGACAAGTCTCCAGTCCTCTGGACCAGAGGAAAAAGCAGACAACCCTCTGTCCCTCTCAACTGAGGTAATCCCCACTTTCCTTTCCTGCCTGTCTCCAGCATCTTCCAGCCACAGCCTGGTGCCCCCTTCCTGTAGAACCCACTGCTCTCCCACAGGGTGTGGGACTGTGGTATGGCTCTCACTTGAAAAAGCTCTCTTGCTGGCTGCTGACACTTTTCCTCCAGTTCCTCCACTTGGGCTCCCAGCCGGTCGACCTCCCCGGAGATCTTTGTGACATACTCATTCCTCTCTTTCTGGATCTGCTGCTCCAGCTCCCCCAGCCTGGCCAGCAGGAGGTGCCGCTGGTCCCCCAGCTCCTGCTGCAGCCTCTCAAAAGCAGCTTCCACCTGCTGCTTCTTGCTTTCGATCTGAGTCTTCAAGAGATAGAAAGATGGACACAATAGGGAGGATTCAGAGCTGCCTTCTGGAAGGCCATCTTTGTACTTTTGATTAAGAGGAACAAGGAGTAAGTAGTTTCATGGCTCATTCCTCCAAACAGCACTCTGGTAGAAGCAGATGGGTCTCTCACAATAAACTTGCCCATGACGAGAACTATGCTGTTGTCTTAGCCAGAGATTGAAATAATGCCACACTGTGCTCTCAGAGCCACGTTGAGCAGTCCTTCCATATCTCCTTAGAGTTAGGTGGAGTAACTGCAGTTATTTATTTATTTATTTATTTATTTATTATTTATTTATCGATATGTAGCCAAAGATGACTTTGAACTTCTGATCCTCCTGTTTCCACCTCTCAAGTGCTAGAATTAATCATTTCCATTTTATGCAGTGCTGGGGTTGAACCCAGGTATCATGCATTACAGACAATCACTGTACATAAATGAGCTACATCCCCGGCCCATTTACAGTAATTTGTTTTGTTTACTTGTTTGTTTTGAGACAAGTTCTTCCTGTAGCCCCAGATGGCCTGGAACTCACTATGTAGACCAGGTTGGCCTCCATCTCACAGAGATCTGCCTGCCTCCACCTTCCGAGCTCTGGTATTTAAAAGCATACACAACCACAACTGGCCACAGTAATTTCTTAAAAATTAAGGCAAAAGGAAGTTGTAATTAGAGTCAACGCACATTGGTGGAAATGTGTGAGGTTGATTTTAGCCACTGAGCTCACGATCTATGGAGCATGTTTCGGTGGGATTTGAGCGATGCTGAAGAGATCTTTCTATTCCAATACTCTGTCTCCTTGGTCACAGTACTAGCAATACCCTCTGTGGATTTTGCCTCTGAATTCTGTAGCGTGAAGGAAGTGCCAGGGAGCATCTCAATCCAGTCACTCCATTAGCCTGCAGTCTTCAGAGCTGGAGTCCAGGCACAGTGGACACCTGTCCCAGGCTTCTCAGCTGAAGGTGGCGTTTCAGATGGACACACTGGGCCAGGAGAGCTATGGACCCAGGACCAATAGACCCCGGCTCTAGCCATTTTATCATGAACTTGGACTTGCCATATGACCTTAGCAGTACCACTTTTCTATACCAAAGTTTCCCCCTGTGTGCAGAATGGATAAAATAAGTCTCTGATGAGAAGATATCAGTTCCCAAGTCCCGAGACACCAGTCACGGGAGGATGAATTAGAAAAGTTGACCAATTCTTTCCAGCCCAGCAACAGATAGATGCCAGCTAAGAGGCTTCTCCAGTCTTTGGAGAAAACCTACTAGGGAGGGGCTGGGGAATGCATTTCAGTTAGAAAAGTGCTTGCCTAGCATGCATGAGGTCCTGGGCTCCATGTCTAGCTCAACATGGACTGGGTGTGATGGAACATGCCTGCAATCCCAGTGCTTGGGAGATAGAGACAGTAAGATCAAAGTCATCCTCGGCTACATAGTGAATTTGAGGCCAGCTTGATCTATGTGAAACCCTGTGTCTCAATCAATCAATGAATCAATGAATCAATCAATCAATCAGTCAATCAATCAATCAATCAGTCAGTCAGTCAATCAGGAGCAGGAGGCCAGGGTGTGGCCCTTTACCAGAAGCACTTGGAGCTTCTGATCTTCTTGACACTTCAGGTCTTCCATCTTGTCCCTCTCCATGCTCAGAGCTTTCAACCGACTCTTGAGACGCTCCTGTGGGGAGAAGAGCCAGAGGGAGGTGGCTCAGTTAATAATCCAACTCATAAATAGTGCGTGCTGTGCTCTGGGGATTCGAGGCTGACAAAGGCCTAATCCCTGACCCTAAAGAGACCTCCATCCAGGACAGGAGTCCCATCGGGTTGACAGATACTATGGAGAGGAAAAGTTTGCAGTAAGGGGTCTCCGCAGGGAGACAGGAACACAGAGGTGGGCCACGCTGCCTGTGGGGCTGAGGGAAGTCTTTAGACAGCTGATCTCCAGTCTAGTCCCTTCACCTATCCGGGCAGGGCACCATCCGCTTGGAGGTGAGCAGCCTAGGCCGGCTCCTTACCCGGTAGGGCTGGATGGCCTCGTCCAGGAAACCCACGGTGTGTGTCTGGTGGGAGGGGCCCTCCCTGCAGAACACGCAGAGCAGCTCTGCATCCGTCTCGCAGAAGAAGTAGATCTTCTCTCCATGCTCCTGGCAGCAGGTCTCCCCGAGGGGGCCCAGGGGCACCGGGATCATTGCGGCCCGGGCATCCTCCTCCTCTTCCTCCTGGCAGAGCGGGCAGAGCAGCTGTGCGCCCATCGGGGTGCTTGGAGGGAGGCAGAGCCCACACACCGTGTGTCCGCAGGCCAGGCTCACCGCATCCTGCAGGCGCCCGAAGCAGGCAGGACAGGTCACTTGATGGAGTCCCCGCAGGGACCGGGTCGAGGGCATCACGGTGCCTTCCCTGCCGGTCCACGCAGCCTTCTGTCTCCGCGCAGTCGAATTCCCTGAAATTGAGTCACTTTTGAATGCGTCAGCGTCGCCGAGGCAAAGGAATCCGAGAGGAAGGCAGGAATGTCAGCGCTGGGAAGCCACCTGGCTCCGCCTGGGGCACGCCCAGGACTCTGGGCCACCGCCCCGCAGCTCGGCAGGTCAAACTCCGGGGCATCTCGACTACCCTGCGTTTCCCAGCAGCAGCTAGGTGACCAAGCTCTCCAGTCCTGTGGCCTTCCGTCCCTGGGGTGGGGAGCGGCGCACCGCACCATGAGGTCACTTGGAAATGGGGTTTCCTGGAATACCTGGGCCACAGAGGGGTGGGGCCGTTGGGGAGGAGCGCTTCCTGTCACACTGAGCAGGTGGGAGCCATAAACCTGTGACTGTGAGGCACGCAGCGGCATCAAAGTCCAGCCAGGGGTGGACTGCCAGACGCTCAGGGGACTCGGTGCAGAGCTGCAGGTCGGGATTAAGGATCTGTTTGTCTGCCCGTCCTTTCCTCCCCTGCCTCGCCTGCTCCTATTGGTCCTTCCTGTGCCGCCCATGCTGAACCCACCACCTACGGCCCATGCTGAACCCACCACCTCCCTAGAGCCCGGAGGACATTACATCTCAATTTTAGCGCATATATATACATATACATATACATATACATCTTATACACACACATATATATATATATATATATTTTAATGTGTGTGGGTGCCCTGGGAGGGATTCTCAGAGCTCAGGTTTCAGACAGTTGTGAGTGGCCCAACACCAGTGGCCTAACATAGGGTCCTGGGAACCAAACTCATGATCTGCTAACACTGAAGAAAAGGCAAAAGGAAAGACTATTTCCCCCCCAAATTAAGAATGAGTTCAGGAGGCAGGACATCGCAAGGCAGATGGCTCAGCACTTAGGAGTGCTCGCTGCTCTTTCAGAGGATCAAAGTTCTGTTCCCAGCACCCACAATGAGCAGCTCACAACCGCCTGGAACTCCAGCTCCAGAGGATCTGACACCCTCTTCTGGCCTTGGGCACCCACATACATGTGCATGCACACACAGGCAATGACCCAAATCTTTTTTTTTTTATTTATTTTTTATCTTTTTGAGACAGGGTCTCCTTGTAGTCCCAGCTGACCTGAACTCACTATGTAGACCAGGTTGGCCTTGAACTCACAAGGATCCGTCTGCCTCTGCCTCCCGAGTGCTGGGATTAAAGGCGTGCGCCACTACACCCGGATAATTTTATTTTTTATTTGCAAGTAGAAGGCAAGGAACTGTGACACAAATGCTGATCAATGAAAACTCAAACAGATTTGGCCACATTGGCTTAGGATTTATTGTTTTCATATTATTACATCCAATTTTTATCTTTTAAAAAGTATAATTGCACAACTTTCTCATAGGCTATATTTTCTTTTTAAAGATTTATTACTATTTTGTTTTTAAATTATGTGTGTGTGTGTGTGTGTGTGTGTGTGTGTTTGAATGTGTGAATTCAGGTTCCTTCAGAGTCCAGAATAGGACATTGGATCCCCTGGAGCTGGAGCTGCAGATGGTTTTGGGCTGTCCAGTGTGGGTGCTGGGAACAGAACCTAGGTCCTCTGGAAGAGCAGAACACATTCTTAACTGCTGGGCCATCTCTCCAGCTCTACTGCCAATTTCAGTAACAAGCCATTGGGGCACATATGGGGAGAAGGAGATGAGAACTGGAAGTTACAGTGACTTTCCAAAAATCAGAGAGCTTAACAACCACAGGGCTGGGACAATTGGAGTGTTGGCTTCCGGCCCTGAGTTTCTCCCACAGCCCTGTGCTCCTCCCACAGCTGAGACACAAGGTCAAGTGTCTGGGGTCCCTATGTGGTCACCTGCCACCCCCCACCCCATGGACAAAGGCAGGTCCTCCTGTTCCCCACCCCTTTCCATCCCACCTACTTTTCATGTCCCCTCCCCGTCCTGCCCCACCTGCCCCTAACAGTATGCCCTAGAACAATTTACCAATCCCAGAACAGCCTACCACTCAAAGAGACTGAGCAGTGACCTGTGGCCAGTACTGACAGCTGTGCTGTGTGTATAAAAGACTTCATATAAATACAAAGCAAGGCCCAGAGTGGTGGCACTAGCCTTTAGTTGCCCTGGACGAAACCCAGGGCCTTGTGCTTGGCTCCATCGCTGAGGAAAATCCTCAACCCCAGCATAAGCCTTTAATTCCAGTACTCTGGAGGCAGAAGCAGGCAGATCCTTGTGAGCTGGAGGCCAGCCTGGTCTACAAAGGGAGTTCCAGGCCAGCCAGGGCTATATAGTGAGACCCTGTAATAAACAAACAAACAAACAAACAAACACAAAGAAATGTAAAATATTGATGTGTTTTATGTTTTCATGTGTTCAGTTCATAATATTTTGGTAACACTGGGCTAACTTAAACATATTATTAATATTTATATTCTCTTTTTACTTTAAAAATTTTTTATTATTTTTATTTTACATGTATTAGTGTATTGCCTGTATGTGTATAAGTACACTTGTGTCATACAGTGCCTATGGAGGTCGGAAGGTGTTGGATCCCCTGTAACTGAAGTTACAGACACTTGTTAGCCATCATGTGGGTGTTGGGAACCGAACCCAGGTCCTCTGTAAGAACAGCCAGTGCCCTTAACTGCTGAGCCATCTCTTCAGCCTTTCTTTTTACTTAAAAAAAAAAAAAATCAAGCTGGGCGTGGGGGCGCATGCCTGTAATCCCAGCACTTGGGAGGCAGAGGCAGGCGGATCTCTGTGAGTTCAAGGCCAGCCTGGTCTACATAGTGAGTTCCAGGACAGCTGGGGCTACAGGGAGACCCTGCTTCAAAAAAACAAAAACAAAAAAAACACAACACCCCCCCAACCCAAACAAACGTTTTCTCAACCTTTATTCTGAAAAGCATGCCAACTTATAGATACTGAAAGAATGCCTACATAATTTTTAAACTTAAAAATTTTTTGATTAATCTATTTTTTATTTGTTCTTATTTCATGTGTACAAGTATTATGTCTGCATGTATGTAAATGCACTCATGTTGTACAATGGCCATGGAGGTCAGAAGAGGGTTTTGGATCCTCTGGAACTGGAGTTGCCATCATGTGGGTGCTTTAGAACCCAGGTGTCTGCAAGATCCACGGAGCCATCTCTCCAGCCCTGATTTATCTGTTTTGATCTTATGTGTATGAGTGTTTTACCTGCAATGTATCTAGTACACCTGTGTATGCAATGTCCTCAGAGGCCAGAAGAAGGCGTCAGAGACCCTGGAACTGGAGTTATAGAGGGTTGTTAGCTGCCATGTGGGTGCTGGGAACTGAACCCAAGTCCCCTGCAAGAGCAGCCGGTGCTCTCAACCTCTGAGCATCTCTTTATTATTTTTCATTTTTAATTATGTGTGTGGGGTATGTATGTGGGTATGTGCTGGTGAGTACAGGTACCCTTGGAGGCCAGAAGCATCAGATTCCCTGGGGACTATAGTTATAGGTAGTTGTGAGCTGCCCTGACATGGATGCTGGGAACTTCGGTTCTCTTCAAGAGCAGCAAACGCTCTGACCCCCTGAGCCATCTCTCTGGCCTCACTGTATACGTTTCAACTCTGTCTCCACTTTGCTCTCACTTCCATACATACTACAACACACATCTTTTCAGAACAAGGAACTTCTCCATGTGACCACAATACTGTTAAGAAATTTAACGTGGGCTGGCTAGCTGGCTCAGCAGGTAAAGGCACTCGCTGCTGAGCCTGATGACCTGAGTTCTATTCCAGAGACCCACATGGTGGGAAGAAAGAATGACTCCACAAAGTTGTTCTCTGATCTCCTTATGCACACTGGGGCACCAGTGCCCACACACGCATATCATGCCCAAACACACACTAATAATAAAGAGAACGCTGGAGGATCCCCCTGAGGAGAGGGCCAGCTTCTGTCCTCTGTCAGGGCTTGTCTTGGGGTACTAGTTTGAAGACCAGAGGTCAACTAGCTCACTTGATTTCCTTTCTAATTAGAAAGGGATTGAAGAGAAGTTGTATGTACCTGTCTCCTCCCAGAGCCTACCGGGTTAGCTTTATGCCTTTGCTTTTTATTTTGTTTTGTTTTGTTTTATTTTATTTTTTGTCTTTTTTGAGATAAGATAGGCCCAGCTGGCCTGGAACTCACTATGTAGATCGGGCTGGCCTCAATCTCACAGAGATCTGCGTGCTTCTGCCTCTGAAGTTCTGGGATTAAACGTGTGTACCACCATGTCCAGCCTTTACCTTTTTATGTTTATGAGTGTTTTTATTTTATGTGTATATGTTATGCCTGCGTGTATGTAAGTATACCTGTGTTGTGCAATGCCCGCAGAGGTCAGAAGAGGGCATCAAATCCCCTGGAACTGGAGTTATGGGTGGTTGTTAGCCATTATATGAGTGCTGGTATTTGAACCCTGGTCTTCTGAAAGGACAGTGCTTATAAGCCCTGAGCCATCTCTCCAGCCTTGAAACTTTTCAGTTGTTTATGTGGCTTGCATCAAATTTCTTTTTTCTCCAAAGCAGGGTCTTTTGTAGCCCAGGCTGGCTTCTAACCTACTGTGTAGCAGAGGCTGGTCTTGAACTCCTGATCCTACCTGCTCTGCATCCCAAGTGCTGGAATTATAGACCTGCACCACCAGGCCTGGTTGTGCTTCATATTTTTCTTAGAATGTGCTGCTTGGAATACTCAGAGCTCTGACTGCAGATCATGCATGGTCAGTTGGGCTTTGTCTGTGGACCTTGGGTGAGCTGTGTTACCCTGGTGGAGTTTGCAAAACCCAGACCCAAGCCCCAGGACAACATAGAGTGGAAGTGAAATGAATAAGATCCCATGTTAAAGTGCTTCTGTCAGTGGATGGTGCGTAGTCCTGGGAAAAACTGCTGGCTGGGACTGCATTTCCATCTCCTCCCCAACCCAAGGTACAACCCAACCTCTTTTAAAGCCAGTGATAGGCTGTGGACCATCACCAATGAAGTTGCTTGTGCTGTGCACACCCGAGCCCAAGGGCCTTATCTGAGTCCCCACACTCTCCTGCCCATTGACTGGCAGGCCCTGTGCTGGCTGATACCTCCAATCTCCCTGGAGACAGGTGGCTGTGTGCAGGGAGGCAAGAGTAGCAGCCCTCTGTGAACCAGGCTCCTCTCTGTCCCCAAAGAAGACCTCTCTTTCAACAGTGGACAGCTGAGACCAACACTCATCTTTCTGTGAGCCGCTGTTAGGACAGAAAGGGACCGTGAGCCTCAGGCCATGGGCACTGGTCCAGAGAGGAACTTTTGGCATCTCAGGATGATGCTGTGAACTCCAGGACCTTCCTCTTCTGCCATTTTTTCATCTCTGCTGTTGGCAGGAGTGTGGGGCTGTTCATGGGAGGGCAGGACAAGGAGCACCTGGTGTCAGAGACGCAAATGGGCACCCTGTCCAAGTGCGTGTGACTATGTCAGTTTCCAGACTTGACAGTGTTCTCTGGTGTTTTGAGTCTGGAGTGTATCTTTCCTCCTCAGCCAAGCAGAGGCAGTGACCTCCAGGAGGCAGAAGCCCCAGTACGGGCTGACATGGCCTCAGCATCTGTGGCCAGCTTGGCAGATGAGGTCAACTGCCCCATCTGTCAAGGCACCCTAAGGGAGCCGGTCACCATCGACTGTGGCCACAACTTCTGCAGGTGCTGCCTCACTCGCTACTGCGAGATCCCGGGCTCGGAATCGGAGGAGTCCCTCACCTGCCCACTCTGCAAGGAGCCCTTCCGCCCCGGGACCTTCCGTCCCAACTGGCAGCTGGCCAACGTGGTGGAGAACATCGAGCGCCTTCAGCTGGCGTCCACGCGCGGCCTGGAGGCCGAGGATGCCTGTCCAGAGCACGGGGAGAAAGTCTACTTCTTCTGTGAGGATGATGAGGCGCAGCTCTGCGTGGTGTGCCGGGAGGCTGGGCTCCATGGGGCCCACACGGTGCGCTTCCTGGAGGATGCTGCAGGTCCTTACAGGGTAGGAGAGGACCCCAGCAGGTTGGGGCTCCGGGGACCCTGTGGGAGCTGGAATTGGACCGACAGGAGTAAATTACAGTTGTGGATTCTGGGGAAGGGGAGCGACATCCAGACCCCAAATTCTCTCCTCCTGCCTTTATGATCACACAAGCACAGAAAAGCACATGAGTGTGATTGAGAGGGAGTTCTGTGTTGTTTTCTTGGGAACCACAGACAGCAGGAGCTCAGTAAATTCTTGCCGAATGAATGAACCACCGAACTTGTGTCTGTGTCCTGTATTGAGGTGTGTCTGTGGTTTGAATTTCACTGAAAAACCATGTTTGCATGTTTACAAGGGCGAATGGTGTGTGTGTGTGTGTGTGTGTGTGTGTGTGTGTGTGTGTGTGCTGGTTTTAGTTACTTTTGCACTGTATTTAATACACACGAGTGTCTATATGTATGGATGTCTCAATTTGTTAATTATCATTTGATAGTGAGAATTATTTATGTATTTTCTCTTTGAGACAGAGGTTGCCTCAGACTCACAGCCAAGGATGATCTTGAACTTCAGATCCTCCTGCCTCTGCTTTCTGAGTAATAGGATTATAGACATGTGCCACCACACCCGGTTTATGTGGTGCTAGGGACTGAACCCACGACTTTGTGCATGCTAGGCAAGCACTCTACCAACTGAGCTGCAGCCCTTGTGAGCATAGGGGACAGGGTCTCCCTGTAGGCCCAGCTGGCCTGGAACTCGCTATGTAGATCAAATTGGCCTCGATTTCACAGAGGTCTGCCTGCCTCTGCTTCCCGAGTGCTGGGATTAAAGGCGTGCACTACCACACCCAGCCTATATGTATTTTTGAACACACATGTGGACCTTTATGAGTGTGTGCTTGTTTGTAATTGGTTCTAGAGCAAACAAATTTTAAAACCTGGCATCAATTATTTTTGCATCCAAATTTCTTCTCCCCTGTGTACTGTGTCTAGGCAATTGCTTCTAATAAGAAGGAAAAGCTATTATTTGTGTGTGTTTCCTTTGGATGAAATAATTTCAGTGAAGGGCATATCAAGCTCATATCCCAAATGCCAGATTAAAATGGTATAAAGCTCAAGGGGGAACCAAAGTCATAGCCTTAAATGGCACATGAGAAACGGAAAGCTCTGATCAAAATTCTTGAAGCATAGAGCAAAAAAACAAGGCAGGCTCCAGGATTGGGGTGGGGGGTGCTCACCTATATCCTAGCACTGAGGAGGAAGGATACTGAGTTCAGGGCCAGTTAATTTGAAGCAAGCCTGAGCTACATGAGATCCTGTTTCAAAAACAAAACAAATAAAAATCAAATCCCGAGTCTCATACTCATTTCCAGGGCGTTTCATTCCCCTGGGCAGGGGATGTGAGGGGGATCTCCTCCACAGTCACTTTCTCCACCTTAGCATGGACTCATGCCCCCTCTCTCCAGGAACAAATACAGAAGTGCCTTATGTGTCTAAGGAAAGAGAGAGAGGAGATCCAAGAAGTCCAGTCAAGAGAAAACAAAAGGATACAGGTGCTCCTGGTATGTCTCCACTCTCCCTGGGTCCTGCCCCTCCCCTGGGTCCAAGGTTGTCTCTAAACTGAGGCCATAGAGCACACAGGGCCTTGGAGGTGTTCTGGGTTTGAATCCTGACTCTGACATTAACTCTCTGATCTTGAGCAACTCGGACTTCAGCTTATTCATCTGTGAAATGGAGATTCAGTGTGATTCTGCCCATGACAGCTTACTGCTGTGCACATGCTGTGCACTTCCTACAAGTCAGGAAGCTAGGTGTCTCTAGAGTCTCTTTTAGGAGCCACAGTGATGGTGCCGAGGCAGTGCTGAGCTGTGTAGCTCCCTGAAGTGGGATGGCAGGTGGACAGGACAGCAGCTGCAGCTCCAAATCCAGCTGTGGGCTGAGGATTGGGGGGAGGGGGCTCGATTTTACCACCAAACCTTGGAAGATGTGAATCTAAACCAAGGGAGAGATGGGAATAAGAAAATGAGGAGTAGGAGGAGGAGGAAGAGAAGGAGGAGAAGGAAGAAGAGGAGGAAGAGGAGGAGGAAGTATCTTAAAAGGAAGGCCCTCCATGCCCAGCTCAGAACTAAGCACAGCAGGAGGAGAAAAAGGAAGAGGGAGGGAGGAAAGGGAGAAGAATGGAGGAGGAGATGGAAGAGAGGAGGAAGAGGAGGAGGAGGGGGAAGAGGAGAGGAGGAAGAGGAGGAGGAAGAGGAGGAGGAGGGAGAGGAGGAGGAAGAGGAGAAGGAGGAGGAGGGAGAGGAAGAGGAGGAGGAGGAAGAAGAGGAGGAGGAGGAGGAAGAAGAGGAGGAGGAGGAGGAGGAGGGGGAGGAGATTCTGGCTGCTGCAGAGGAACATGCCCTTCTTACTGTCATCCTTCCTCCCCAGACTCAGGTGGCCACCAAGAGACAGCAGGTGGTTTCTCAGTTTGCACGTCTGAGCCAGTTCCTGGAAGAACAACAGAGTTTTCTCTTAGCACAACTGGACAGGTTGGACGGGGACATCCTGAAGCAACAGGAAGAATTTGATTCCCTGGTCACCGGGGAGATCCGCCGGTTCAGCACCCTGATCGAGGAGCTAGAGGAGAAGAACGAGAGACCAGCAAAGGAGCTGCTGACGGTGAGGCCTGCATTGGCCCAGGCCTTCTGGAATCATTGCTGTGCCTCCCTCACTCCTGCATCTCGAATCCCAGATAGGATGTGGGGCAGAGGGCCAGAGCTTTGAATTCTAGTCCATGCTTCCCCAAGAGTTTCCTGGTCACTGTGCTCTCTGGTCTCTGTCCCACCATCCACGAGATGGGGAAGGAACACTCCCTCATCCTCTCTCTGGGCTTCTGTGAGGATCTAACAGTGAAATGGGATGGAAGTGGCACTTGGAAAGTACCAAGCGCTGCATAAACAGCTGCCAGGAGCTGTTCCAAAGAAAATTTCTTTTTTTATAACCTAGATGTTCCTTCCACTGGCCAGGATGTCCTTCCTAACCTGTATTACTTCCTTGACCTGGAGGAGAGCTATTGGGGTCCCAACAGTGTGACGTAGGGGAATGCTCTGGAGACTGAAGCAGGAGCTCTCAGGATGGGACTTGCTTTACCTTTGTAAATTTGAGGAACAGGTCACGATACCACTGTGTCCACAAAACAAAGGAATTGGGTGCTGGTCCCCACAGCACCCTAGCACTCTGTGACTCTGTGATTCCGTGATCTGCTGTCCCTTTTCTGTTCAGGGCTAGGAATATGGTGTTTTGGCTTTTGTGGTCATAAGAAAAGTGGGAGAGGGAAAACCAAACCTGACTCCTTTCTCTCTTTCTCCCCCCCAGGATATCAGAAGTACTCTAATAAGGTAAGTGACACAACGTCTGTTTCTTTTTCCATATAGGTATCCATACATGCACCACCTGCCTAGTTACACATACAAATATACTACACTCTCATGTTAAGGACATGTAGTTACATACAAACCTTCACATAATCACAACCGTTCTCAAGTGCTGCTGTGGGAACACCCACTGTATAGCAGTGGGGGCCATCCGAGAGGAAAGGTGCCTCTGTGGGAAGTAGCCACTCCAGGCCCTGTTAGAAGATGGCAAACTCAGTGTGGAAGCGTCATTTAAAAAGAATAATTTGTCAGGTGTAGTGGCACACGCCTTTAATGCCAGCACTAGGGAGGCAGAAGCAGGCAGAGCTCTGTGAGTTACAGGCTAGCCTGGTCATACTGAGTTCCAAAGGGTTAAAAAGTAAGACCCTATTTAAGAAAAAAGAAAAGAAAAGGAAAAAAAAAAAAAAGATACTTCCCAGACTCTGCCATTTCTTTGCCCCTAGATGTGAAACCAGAAAGTGCCGGAAACCAGAGGCTGTGTCCCCAGAGCTGGGCCAGAGGATACGAGATTTTTCCCAGCAGGCCCTCCCTCTGCAGCAGGCGATGAAGGCATTTCTGGGTAAGAACACTCTGGGCCTCCACAGTGTTCAGGTAGGCTCCCAGCTTGGGCTTAGGGATGGATGGCCTCCTGACTCCACCACCAAATAGCTATGAATTCTGGGAAGGCTTATCTCCTTCAGTGCCCTGGCTTTCCTGTTTGCCAAGTTGTATAAAGTCTTCCTCTCAGGATGATTTGACTGTGAAGAGAAAAAGAAACGTGAAGATTTCTGTGTGGAGCGAGTCAACCTATTAAGACAAATCTGATCAGTTGGCATGATGTAATAGAAAAGATAATGTTTAACAACTCTGTATTCTCTATCACTGAAATCTTTAGCAGCATTTGTAAGGCATGGCGCGTTCTTGATGGCGGACGTTGTTAATCATAGAGACAGTATTCATCTTCGTACTGTAAAGCTGACTCATCCCTCGCTCTCTTTCGCTTTCCTCCTATTAGTCTCCAGAACGGAAGGTTGAACCCCAGGCCTTGTGTGTGGTAGGCCAGTGCTCTACCACTGACCGACAACCCCAGCCTTTTTTTTTTAACTTCCTTATTTTAGTGTGGCTGTCAGAGTTGAGCCATCATTTTAGGGCCTGTGCCCCAATCCTTTCCCAGAATAGGGAGTCGTGATGAGACACATCCAGGAGAGTTTGAAATGTAAGTTGTAGCGTTCTGTTCCCCACCAACCGCCACCTATTTCTAAATGTCTCACCCTCAAAAGCACCCCCCCATGAGAACATCCCCTGGAGGTCTTCATCTTACAAGTACTTCCATGGCTACATGGTGAAGGAAATTTTACTCTAATCTAAGACTGGTTTTTGACTGGCCCCAAAGTTACTTACAAGTAGAAGGAAATAAATGAGCCGACATATCTGTCCCTTAAGCAGATGTTTCTTAATTCCTGTGAGCAGCAGATACACAGGTAAGCAAGGCAGGCATGGTCCCTGGACTGCTCAGAGCTGGGGTGTCAGACTTCTCAGTGGGGCTCCATCCCAGTACCATCAGCATCCCCTTGGGAGACTGTAAGAGATGCCGATTTACAGTCCGGTCCCAGAGCATCTGGGTCTGAATGGGAACAAGTGCTCCAGGAGGGCTGGATGTAGCCGCACGGTTAGAGGAGTCCAACTTCCACTCTCTCCGCTCCTTCCCTGTTCCGGGCCTCCATTTCCTCATCACTGGCGTTCTGTGGTTCTGAGATTAATGAAATCTCATCTTGTCACCATTTCCTCCTTACAGAAATGCTCTGCTTTGAGTTGGACTATGAGCCAGGTAAGTCGGCCCCTGTATCCATATATTCTACATCCAACCTCAGAAATCATTCAGAAACACATTCTTCTGTATTAAATATGACCAGGTTTTAAAACTTTATTCTCTAAATGATATGGTGTGATGACTATTTACATAGCATTTACATTATATTAGGCAACATAAGTAATCTAGAGATTATTTGAAGTGTATGGGAAAGTGTATGGGAGGATGTGTGCACGTTGTATGTGAATAATATTTCATTTTACATAAGATACTTGAGTTCTGTGGATTTTAGTACCCAAGGGGGATCCTGGAACCAATCTCTCTTGGAGCTTGAGGGATGACTCTATAAGATCCCGAGGTGAGCCACAGAGAGAGGACGGGCACATACATATTCCTGACAAAGCTGGTATCCGATCTGTACAGAAAGATTAGATCAAAACTGAGTAAGGTGTGTTAGGGAAGCCCCTTCTGGATGAGGGGACTTTGGTCTGCCTTTAGAGTCACGTTCTCTGAACCGTCAGGAACTTCTGCTCCTTGAGATGTCATTTCATAGACGACAGAGGCAGAGCAACCTAAGAGCCCATCAATGCCGTCAGTTCCTCCGAAGGCCCTGGAGAACCGTGGAATTGTTGGAAGGGGCTCTCTAACCCATCGATAAGCCTGAATTTATAGGTTTTCTCGGATTAGAGATACTAAATGTAGCAATATGTTCGCATCTGCAGAAGTTAGGGTGCTAAAGCGTGGGTCTCAGGTTTCGACAGTTTAAATTCCTGAGCAGCGAGAATAACCCAGGTGAGCCAGAGCCCGACGGGAGGAAGAGCTGTGCACATGACCACAGGGTCCAGGGAGGGCAGGGGCACGACTGCGAGGTCAGGACCCAGAGGAGGGAGTTTCTGCCTCTGAGATAAAGGTGTGAAGAGGCTGTGTGTGAGGAGGCTGTGTGTGAGGAGGCTGTGTGTGAGGAGGCTGTGTGTGAGGAGGCTGTGTGTGAGGAGGCTGTGTGTGAGGAGGCTGTGTGTGAGGAGGCTGTGTGTGAGGAGGCTGTGTGTGAGGAGGCTGTGTGTGAGGAGGCTGTGTGTGAGGAGGCTGTGTGTGAGGAGGCTGTGTGTGAGGAGGCTGTGTGTGAGGAGGCTGTGTGTGAGGAGGCTGTGTGTGAGGAGGCTGTGTGTGAGGAGGCTGTGTGTGAGGAGGCTGTGTGTGAGGAGGCTGTGTGTGAGGAGGCTGTGTGTGAGGAGGCTGTGTG